CAGCTCCTCGCAGGTGGCACACACTGCAGGGATGAGGGCAGGGGGTGCTCAGAGCCAGGAGAGCCCAGGCCTGGCACAGGGCTATGGGCAGCTGGGAAAGGGAACAGGGCAAACTGGGAGGGCAGATTTGCCAAAAATGGGCTCTGGGACTGGCCTCAACAGCACCACGTTCACCCCACCCCAGTGGAAAGGCAGAGTCAGCCCCCAAAACCTGCCAGGTGAGGGGTAAGCGCTCACCTTTGGCATTCAGGTACAGCTGACGCTTCGTGCTACCCCAGGAGCAGCTGAGGTTGGCAGGGGTGCTGTCGTGGTCCTTTATAATGAACTTCCTCTCCCTGGTGTCCTGGGTTTTCCCAGACAGCTCCCACTGGATGTCCTCGTCCTCCAGGGGACATGTGATGGTCACCGTGGTGCCAGAAATCTCCACCAGGAACTCCCCTTGGGAGGACACACCAATGAGAAAGGAAACCAAGGGCAAAAGTCAAATATTTCCACCTGGTTTTTAGTCTGCTACAGTCTTTATATCCCAGTAAATACTAAAGAATGCTGGTAAAGTTCACTTACCCTCCAGTTCTTCACCTGCAAAACAGAAAACAAGGAGTGTTAAAAAAACATCTCACCATTGCCTCACAGTACTGGAAATGCCCAACACTGGTAATAATTAGGGACCAATTTCTCCAATCAGTAAGACCACTGTCAATTAATGAACAGTGATTTTTTTCCTATCCTGCAGTATTTACAAAATTAAAATATTTCTATTTGACTATTAGTCCTCACTTTTGAGGCATATTTGGGGTTTTTAGCATGATAAATAGTTAAGGATGGCAGTAAAATACACTTACCCTGCTGAGCTGTGGTGCCAACTGCAAAAAAAAAATGAATAAGAAATGTTAAATAATTGAGCTTCAGATATCACACACCTTTCCTAGTCCCAGGACATCCTTTCTGAACTCAGCTTGAAAGAGATGTTTATAATCCCACATTCATGCTGAAGGCATCAGACATATTCTGCTGGTGAGACAGGATGTTGTTCTGAACTTGGAAGCCATTTTCAACACAGCTTAACGCAGAATGGAAACTTGAGTAATTTTCCAACCCAGCTCAGAAGAAGGGTTGTTATTGCAAGATGCAAACCCCAAAATTCTGCTTTATTATCGTGGAGCAAACACTGCTGGAAAATCCTGGTAAGAACCTCTGTCCTCTGCAAGAGTGGGAGCCTGAGGTTGATTTAAGGCTGTAAAACTGTTTATCTGTGTGGGTTTTCTGCCTTGTAGGAAACAACTTGCTCCACGAGAGACTCTGGAGCTGGAATATTAAAGAAAGAGTTTTTAGGAGGTGTGAATCATTTGTGATTTCCTTTAAGGACATTTGTCCTTTTGCAAAAAACAACTTAAATAAGCGACTGCAGATTTGAATAAGTGACTGCAGATTTGAGTTCCACAGCGGATTTCCCTGGAGAGAAGGTGACCTGATGGTTTTTATTTTACAGAGATACATTTAAATCTGAAAAAAGAACAGGACACTGATAAACCACGTTTTCTATCTTCACAAAGGTTGGTACTCGCAGGACTTTGGCAGAGTAGCTGGAGTCTTGGAGCACCTCTAAATAGATTAACCTTGCACACTTCTCTCTCCTCATTACTGGGTTCTTTGGAGCCTTTACGGGTACTCTGCACTTCATCCTAAGCCACTGGGGCATCCCAGCTGCCGCCCCACCCCTGATATCCCATCAAGCCTGAATCACTTACCCGGGATCCCCAAACGCTTTGAGTAAAATGCACGGATAAAGGATAATAAACCCAAAATTCGGGGTGTGGAACCTTACAGCTCACACTGCACCCAGCTCCAGCCCAGCTGCCTGCAGGTTGGGCACTCACCTGCACACAGCAGGAGCCCCAGGAGGGGCAGGCACTGCTGCAGCCTCATCCTCGTGTTCCTCCTCCTGCTGCTCCTCTCCACCACATCAGACTGGCGTGGCTGTGGCAGGAAAGAACACGGCGGCTTTCCTAGAAAGGAGCCCAGGATTGTTTTTCCCAGAATTGTTGCCCACCCGAGCAGGGCTGGGGCACTCACTCCTTCCAGAGCAGCCAAGGCTGAGGCAGACACGTGAAATAAGCCCAGGTCAGGAAGTGCGGAGGCTCAAAATGTCTTCATGGGACGTCACCAGCAGCCAGGGGTGGCTGCTCTGCTCTGCACCAGTTCTGCAGGCTCGGGACAGCTCCTGGAGCTGCCCTGGGAGCCGAGGGGAGAGAAACGAGCTGGAATCCATCAGCACCTTCCCAACAGCTCCTCAAAGTGAGAGCTTGAGAGGCTCCAAGTGTGGCAAAGGACTTCACGTGGGATCCCAGCGTGATTTGGGTGGGAAGGGCCCTAAAGCCCATCCCATCCCACCCCTGCCATGAGGGACACCCTCACTGTCCCAGGTGCTCCCAGCCCCATCCAGCCTGGCCTTGGGCACTGCCAGGGATGCAGGGGCAGCCCCAGCTGCTCTGGGCACCTGTGCCAGGGCCTGCCCACCCTGCCAGGGAACAGTTCCCGATTCCCAATCTCCCCTCCAGCCCTGCCCTCTGGCAGTATGAACCCATTCCCCTTTGTTCTGCCCCACAGCTGCTGCCCAGAGCCCCTCTCCGTGCTCCTGCAGGTCCCTTCAGGCACTGGCAGGCTGGAATGAGGGAAGCAGGAGCTGCCCCCAAGGCTGAGCACCCAGAGCCCTGCACGGGCACAGAGCCGAGGCCATGGCGCCCTGCCCACCCCCTGTGCTGGTGTCCACAGGGGCTCCAGGATGAGGGAAGAGATGAGAATGTTGACCCCATGTTTTAAAAAGCTTGATTTATTATTTTATGATATATATTATATTAAAACTATACTACAATAATAGAAGAAAATATTTTATTAGAAAGATTGAAAGCAAAAGAGAAAATTAGAATGATTACAAGATCTTGTGTCTAACTAGAGACACAGCTAGACTGTGATTAGCTATTAATTACAAACAACTACATGAAACTAATCAAAGATACACTTGTTGCATTCTACGGCAACAGATAATTATTGTTTACATTTTGCTCTTGAGTCTTCTTAAGAGAAAAAAAATCCTAAAGAAAGGATATTTCATCAAACATGTCTGTAACACATCCCCTGCGCTCAGCCCCTCTCCCAGCAGCATTTTTGGGATGTTCTCCCGCTCGGGCGCTGCCGTGGCCGTGCCTGGCCCCGCTAGAGGGGGCTCCTGGCCCGGCTGCTTTAGGATGAAGTGCAGAGGAACTGTAAAGGCTCTAAAGGGACAGGGGAGGTGCTGGTGTGCCCCATTTCCTTCATTGGAGTGCTCTCTTTGGCCGTCAGGGCTTTCTTTTCCTTATTTATGTTTCCAAGTGAAACATCAGAGAATTTAGATTACCGGTGAGTGTGCCAGGGACGTGGTCTTCTCTTAAAAGTTGGAGTCCAAGTGTTTTGTTAAAAGATAAAGATTAACAAAAGTCTGCAGGAAAAGGGGCTGTTCCCAGCCCCGTGCCTGGGAATCAGGATTAGGAAGTGGCAGCAAATTGGCTGCTAAACATTAAACTGAACCTGAACAAAGCCCCAGAGTGATAAATAATCACAGTGGGGAGGAAACAAAAGGAGGCGATGTGCTGGAATTGTAACCGAGCGGGAATCTGGGGACGTGAAGTGATGAAGGGCTAACACGGGACCGAATCATTCCAGAAAAATGGAGACCCTTGGTGCCCCGAATCATTCCAGGAAAATGGAGACCCTTGGTGCCCCAAATCATTCCAGGAAAATAGAGACCCTTGGTGCCCCAAATAATTCCAGGAGAATGGAGATCCTTGGTGTCCCGAATCATTCCAGGAGAATGGAGACCCTTGGTGTCCCGAATCATTCCAGGAAAATAGAGACCCTTGGTGTCCCAAATAATTCCAGGAGAATGGAGATCCTTGGTGTCCCGAATCATTCCAGGAGAATGGAGACCCTTGGTGCCCCGAATCATTCCAGGAGAATGGAGACCCTTGGTGTCCCGGCGGCGTTAGCAGGGCTGTGTTAGCGCACACGGGATTCCCTGCTCTGTTTCTGGGGACAGCCCAGGGAGCTGACGGCCTCAGCGCTGTTTTGCCATCGCCAAATCTCTGATAGGAACCCCCCAAACACCCCGAGGTTGGGGCACCCTCTCCGTGCACCCCTGCAAGGGAAATCCGCACCAGGCACGAGTGGGAGCGGTGACCTGGGATGACTTCTGGGACGGGAGGGTGAACCAGACACAAACTCCAGTGATTTATGGCCCTCGAGTGTAAACATCCTCATTTTGCCAACACACAGGCTCTGACTGATTTCACACTCTCACAACAGCCACGTGCCAATTGCGGAATATTTTGTGTCCCACGGATTTTCTCACTTGCTGGAAAATGGCCGGGCTGGACCCATTTCCCACCTGATTTTTCCCAGAACCTCCCCAGCACCAAGCTCCCAATCCTTGGCTACAACCAAGGAACGTTCAAATCGCTTTAGGGTGGGTGTCTGTGGTTGGTGGGACGTTTCCATCCCCTGGGTGAGGGCCCACACTGCGGCCACGGATTGTCAGTTTTGGGCTGCTCTTTTTAGGATCGTTTGCAGTTGTTTTTTTTTCTTTCCGAGCAAATGGCTCTCATTTCTTCGAGCCACCTATGAACACCTCCAGGCAAATCTTCTTTTACCTCCCACAAAAGGGGAGTGGTTTCGGGTGGCGGCTGGGGGGAGGAATGATTGCAACACCAAAGAGCAGGGGAATATGGGAGGGAGAAGAAATTAATCTTACCTTGGGAATCGCTGATTTACGGCAGGAGCCAGCGAGGAGGGGCTGGGCACAGCTCGGCAAGGAGCGCGCCCTGACTCGGGCTGGGGAGCGCTCACCTTCCCCAGCCAGCAGGCCGGGCTGGGGCCAAGGAATCTGCCCCTTTGTGCTGCCAGGACTTCGAGAAACTCATCTTTTCCCCCAAGCGGATTTGCCTTTGCAGCCCGGATTCGTGTCCCCGATGCGCACCTGGCTGCCCGCTGCGCTCGTCCTTGGGGCGCAGCTCCGAGGTAAGGAAGGAAACCCGGCCGTGCTGCCCTCCCTCCCCTCTTCCGATCGCTGAAATTATCCCCAAGACTGAGGTTTTCCCCCCGTCCTTGCTGCGATTCTTCCTGCTCGGGCTGGTCTGGAAGTGGCACGAAGCGGTTGGGTTTCTTCCCCAACAGGTCTGGGCGTATTCGGGAGGAAGAGCAGCGATCTCCTCCACTGATTTCCTCCTCAGCTCCGCTTTCAACGTCCTTTTCTCTCCTGCCAGGAATCTGAACTTTACTCCCAGCCTTTCTTCTTTCTTTTTTTTTTTTTTTTTTTGCTACCTTTGCTCCTAAACAGTCAGGGATTGTCCAGGAGCTCCGGCCTCAGATCCTTTACACAGCAAAGGTTCCAGACTGACAAGAAACTCATCTGAATTTTCACTGGTTTATATCAAAACAACTGGATTTTAATAATAACACATCCTCCTTTCCCAAATGCATTAGCACATGGATGTAATCTGGCTTGAAAATAAGTATCTTACTCTTGTTCCTCGCTTAGTTCTTTTCAAGGAGTTAAAAATGAAAAGATTTGGCACCGAATCCATGTATGAGTAACGTGATCTCTGCCAATGAGGTTTCTCACGTGGGAATGCTTTCAGTGCCTTGGCATTCAAGTCTTTTCCCCTTTGAGATAAGGAATTATTTGGAAGGAAGTATTTAGTCATGAATTACTTCCAAATACATCTTTATTTTCAACCTGTATTTTACAGCCCTATGTAAGCTTTTTTTTGCTTGAATCACACTGGGTTATCTTCTTAATGTGAGAGGATATTAATATTTTCTATTTCCTTCACTAACAAACCATTAATTTTTCTTATTTTTCACTCTCCTCCTCTCCTTTCCTTGCTCTCCCTCTTGCTGGTTGTCGCTCTTCCAGGGGAGCATCACTCGCTCGATGCTCACTTATTTTTAAAGCAGCAGCCATGGTGGTTCTGGGGATGTTTCTTGGAAAAACAAATCCACGTTTTCCTTGAGGATTTCCTCTAGACCTGACTGAATTTGCCAGCTGGGCTATAAAGCCTCTAAAACTGGCTCTGGATACACCAGTAAGAGCAGTTTCGCCGTGGTGTGCACGAAGCTGAGGAGAAAGAGTAGAAAGGGAAGAAAGTGAGTAGAAAGTGTAGAAAGGGAAGTTCTGGCATGGGAAATAGCAATTATTGGGTGGGTTCGGTCCAGTTTGAATGGGGTTTTCTGCATAAATCGGCAGGATCACCCCCCTTGGAATGCCTGAGCCGCTCAGGCGATCCCTTGCCAGCACAGATAAGGCTCCGGGGATCTAAAGGCGATAAGAGCAGGGATGAGCTCACTCCTGACAGCGATTTCCCCCTGTGTTTGCCCTGCAGCGCTGTGGCTGGCGGCAGCAGTGGAAGTTCACACTGCCAAGGAGGTGGTGGCCGTGAACGGGACCAACCAGCGGCTGAAATGCACCTTCTCCAGCAGCAGCCCCGTGAGCCAGCAGCTGTCAGTGAGCTGGAACTTCCAGCCCGAGGACCTGAGCGCCCACGAGCCTGTGAGTGAGACCCCTGTGCTCCATTTGCAGAGGTTCCCCTCACCCCAAAACCCAGAGCTGGGTGAGCAGTGAGTGAGACCCCTGTGCTCCCTTCCAGGGGCTCCCCTCACCCCAAAACCAAGCTCTGGATGAGCAGTGAGTGAGACCCCTGTGCTCCATTTGCAGGGGCTCCCCTCACCCCAAAACCCAGAGCCGGGTGAGCAGCGAGTGAGATCCCTGTGTTCCCTTCCAGGGGCTCCTCTCAGCCCAAAACTCATCTCTGGATGAGCAGTGAGTGAGATCTCTGTGCTCTCCCTTCCAGGGGCTGGGTGAGCAGCGAGTGAGACCCCCGTGCTCCCTTCCAGGGGCTTCTCTCACCCCAAAACCCAGCTCTGGATGAGCAGTGAGTGAGATCTCTGTGCTCTCCCTTCCAGGGGCTGGGTGAGCAGTGAGTGAGATCCCTGTGCTCCCTTCCAGGGGCTTCTCTCACCCCAAAACTCAGCTCTGGATGAGCAGTGAGTGAGATCTCCATGCTCCCTTCTAGGGGTTCCTCTCACCCCAAAACCCAGCAGTAGGTGAGCAGTGAGTGGGTACAGACACACCCCAAACCCACAGGTACATCTGGGCCTTCGTCACTCGCAGTGATTAATCCAAGTCCTGTTTATAGACCCTGCCTAAAAAAACACTCTCATGTTTAGTTTTGAGTGGTCAGGTTAAAATATTCGTGGCTTTACAAAGCTGGACCTGCTGACACCATGGCTGAAACCTGAAGTCCCACTGGGTGCAGGATGTCACCTAAGAGATGTCACTCTCTTGGGTGACATCCTGCACCTGATGAGACCTCAGGAATCTCCCAGGTCCCTTCCAGCCCAGGCCATTGGATCCTCCTGTGACTTTCACAGATATTTTACTACCTGTGACTTTTGCAGGTGTTTTACTTCCTGAAGGAGCCCTACCAGCCCCCCTCGGGAAGGTTTAAGGACCGAGTCACCTGGGATGGGAACATTGAGCGCCACGACGTTTCCATCATGGTCTGGAACCTGAAGCCCAGTGACAACGGGACCTTCACCTGCCAGGTGACAAACTGGCCAGATGTCTATGGCACCATCGGGGAGGTGCGGCTCCGGGTTGTGCAGAAAGGTGAGAGGCCAAAAACCCCCCAGAGGCTGTGTGGGTTTAAGCAGAGGGAAAATCGTGGGAGAAAAGGGGTTGTAAGTTGTGAAAAGGGGTTGTAAGTTGTGAAAAGGGGTTGTAAGTCGCGTATCTTATGATTGGCTTTTTGCAAATATTAAAATGATTATTATATGTGTTGTGTTAGAAAGTGATGCTGTATTAATTCTCTTAAGTAGTGTGTTAAATATAATTTTAGGTTATAAGTTAATGTTATAAGGTTATGAGGTTGTTAGGTATTATTAGGTTATAAGTTTTAGGTTGTATATTGTTTTAGGTTTATAATGTTAAAATAGAAGCTATGCTGTGTAAGATACTTTTTTAAAGAGAGGAATGAGGTACTCACACTGAGATAGCAGCCACAGGACACCTGAATCTTTCAGAGAAAGAGAATTCATTGCTCCCTTATCAGAAGAAATGAACTTCTGCCTGCCTTGCTCAGCCCTGAAGAGCTGTCAGGATTCAGAGGAAGAAGCTGACACTGCCCAGCCAGAATCCTGTGTTTGAATGGAATTTCTGCATCATGGATGAGGTGTATGAATATGCAACAGGCTGCTGCTTTTAAGGGTTAATCCTCTGTTAACGTGGGTCCTTTTTCGGGCTTATTTTGCCCAGAAACAGGTACCCAGACTGTCCATAAGTCTTTATTTCTATTGTCTCATATTGTCCAAAATTTTATTACTCTAATTATATTACTATTTTTATAACCATTTTATCACTATTAAACTTTTAAACTTTTATAAACAAGAGGTTGGCGTTTCTCACAAGCAGAAAGCATGAGGGCAGAGGAGGAGCCTGAGGAAAGGTTTTATTCACACACAGCGTCCCAGCCTCATTCCCCCCGTGTGTCCCTCTGCTCCATTCCCCTGTCTCCCTCTGCTCCATTCCCCTGTCTCTCCCCACGCAGTGAGCTTCTCAGAGATCCATTTCCTGGCCGTGGCCATCGGCTCAGCCTCTGGGCTGATGATCATCGTGGTGACAGCCGTGATCATCTGCCGGCAGCGCCGCAGGAAGGCGCGAGACAGGAGGACGGAGGCAGCGGACACCGAGCGGTGAGGGAGGGCAGGGGGCTCCTGGGACAGCCTGGCCAGTTTATCCCCATGGCCCTCCTGAATTCCTGGCCAGTTTATCTCTACAGCCCTCCTGAATTCCTGGCCAGTTTATCCCCATGGCCTTCCTGAATTCCTGGCCAGTTTATCCCCATGGCCTTTCTGGATTCCTGGCCAGTTTATCTCTACAGCCCTCCTGAATTCCTGGCCAGTTTATCTCCATGGCCTTTCTGATTTCCTGGCCAGTTTATCCCCATGGCCTTTCTGGATTCCTGGCCAGTTTATCCCCATGACCCTCCTGAATTCCTGGCCAGTTTATCCCCATGGCCTTTCTGGATTCCTGGCCAGTTTATCCCCATGGCCTTTCTGATTTCCTGGCCAGTTTATGCCCATGACCCTCCTGAATTCTTGGCCAGTTTATCTCCATGGCCTTTCTGGATTCCTGGCCAGTTTATCTCCATGGCCTTTCTGATTTCCTGGCCAGTTTATCTCCACAGCCCTTCTGAATTCTTGGCCAGTTTATCCCTATGGCCTTTCTGATTTCCTGGCCAGTTTATCCCCATGGCCTTTCTGATTTCCTGGCCAGTTTATCTCCATGGCCTTCCTTATTTCTTGGCCAGTTTATCTCCATGGCCCTCCTGAATTCTTGGCCAGTTTATCCCCATGACCCTCCTGAATTCTTGGCCAGTTTATCTCCACAGCCCTTCTGAATTCTTGGCCAGTTTATCCCCATGGCCTTCCTGAATTCTTGGCTTGGACCCTGCATGGGGCATCCCCAATGCAAAACTGCCAACCCAATTAGGGATAATTGGCTGTGTGCAGGCAGAACAGAGCCCCAGGATGGACCAGCTCTGGAGTCCTCATCTGGCTCTTGCCCTTCTCAGTGGCTCATCACTCAGAGGGATGCAGCTGCTGTGGTGGTGGAGGGGAGATGACCACCCTGTCCCCTGAGCTGTGGTCACCACTCGTGTGGCACATTCACCATGTCACCTTGGGTGTGCTGTGTGTGACTTAGGACATCCTGCTGCTCTGCCTGACACTCATGGGGCTTTTTTTCTCTTTTTTTTTTTCTCTCCCATTTTTATAACAGTAAAGAAAAGGAGAGCCTGAAGATGGGGGAAAAAAAGGAATCCATTCCATTGGAAGATTAAAGGTCTTTGCTGGTGTGCACAATGCAGGTACCCATCCAAACCTTCTCTAATTAATGTCTCAGTGCTCCTGTGGACTCTCCAAGACATTCCCTCGGGTACTTCCCTGCTGTTCACAGTCAGAACTGAGGCCACAGTCACACTTTGCTGCTGAAGATCCTTCAGAGACAGCTGAACAATCCCTGCACAATCACAGCCTTTTAATGTACAAGAGATTCCTCCACCCTGGTGTTGAGGAGCATTTGTAGGAAAGCCATTGAGCCATTGTTGCTGCTTTCCATGGCATTCCTGCTTTGTAGATGAAGAGGAATGAATTGCTTCCCTTTTGTCAGTTTGAAATCTGCTTTTTGATTACTTTAACCTTTATTGTCTTAAAATTGCATCAGGAAGTCTGGCACTGTCTCCATATTCATTGTCTTTGCTTAAACGTGTCAGCACAAATTTTACCCACAGTTTCTGAGGTCAGCAGTTGCCTCTATTATTTTGCCTTTTGACAATAACCCTGAGTAATGGATGTTTGCTTTTCTTACAATCTTTCTTCTCAGGTGCTTCCAAAGCAGCTGGTGAAAGCTTGTAATTTGGGGTGTTAGAACAAAGCTGGATTACAGACGCCCCACGCTGCTGGCATGGGGCTCTGCTCAACCTGAAAGTCTTGCATGGAAAGAGGGTGACTTTACATGAGCTGTGAATTCCCTTCAGTGAAGCAGAGCAGGAGGATCCTGCCCCATGAACAAAGAACTTTTCCTTCATCTTCTCACCTGTGGAATGGGAGCTTCTCTGGAAGTGCCAAGACTGACTGGACAGAGGGCTGGGAGGTGTTTGAGCAGATGCACTCCTGCACCTTGGAAACCACAACGTGCCTTTGTTTTAAACCTGCCCTGGTTTTATTCCCTGAGACTCTCCCTGGCACCCTGAGAAGGAAGACTGAGCAGTGAGGTCTCAGCTGGTACAACAAACATCCTTGGAATTCCTTTTCTACATTAGATGGACAGAGTTGGAGCTGGGCAAGGTGTGCTGGTTGTTACCAGGGATGGCATTCACCAGCCAGGGTGCTTTGGACAGCTTTGGGAGAACCTGGGGATTGAGCAGAGTTTTCTGCCTGGGTTCAGCAGCTCCACTCTGTTCCCAGTCCCACTCCTGTCGCTATCCCAGTGCTCCCCCTGTTCCCATTCCCACTATCCCAGTGCTCCCCCTGTTCCCCAAAACTGGAACCCACGAGGTTCTAAGGGTGTCTGACCAGCCCCAAAGGGATCCTGTTACAGTATTTACCCAGCCCCAAATCACAGCATTGGCCTGTTTGTTTGTAGAGTGTCTTTATGGCTTTATAACCTGAGAAGTGCCAGCGTTCCCTGGCTCTTCCCTGGCTGTTTTCATTTGCACTCACCTGTGTTGTAAATAAAGGCACCTTGCTGAGAGCTGGGCTAGTGTGGAGTGGGCTGTGACCTGGGGGCCCCTGACACCTCAGATGAGCAGATTTGCACTGTTTGTCCCCAAAATCGGATTTGTTACTCTGTGTGCAACAAACCAATAATGAAATACTTGAGGGAGAATGAAATACTTTCAGAGGAGCCCAAGCCTGGGTGAGTGCTTAGTGGTGTCCCACAAGTCCAGCACATCCACTGGACTTTTACCAGCATTTTTTATGCACAGAATTCAGAGTTAGCAACTCTCCAAGTCCAGCCCCTCTCTTATGATGGGTTATTAATTCCAACACAAGTTATGTCACCCCAGCCAACTTCTACCCCTGCTTCACCTGGCCAGGCTCTTTATGACCTGTACATGTGATTTTTGGTATTTTAACCAAGATAGTTCAGCTCTAGGATACATAAACCTCGTGTGTAGCCCAGTTAGCAACATACACACAGACACACATCAACATCTTGATTTATTACATCCCTAAAACTTGTCAGTTCCAGGGTGTCCTTGGCTGAGGGATGTGGCTGTTCTGTTCCTCTGATTAGGTCTCTTTGATTTTGCCGATGGATTGTGCTGGAAAATCTACAAAGATCTCGCAGTGAGGAACATCCTGACTTAATAATGTAATCCTGACACATTCCTCATTGTCTGGCACCCAGAAAAACCAAAGCTCAGCGAGCGGGCTGGCGGTGACAGTGACAGGAGCCACCCGGTGATCTGGGGACAAACACGGTGACTGCGCCAGACCTTTCCCAGCAGGGCACACCCAGGTGTGCCCAGGTGTATCCAGGTGTGCTATGGTGTTCCCAGGTATTCCCAGGTGTATCCAGGTGTGCTATGGTGTTACCAGGTATACTCAGGTGTTCCCACCCAGGTGTACCCAAGGGTATCCAGATGTACCCAGGTGCACCCAGATGTTTCCAGGTGTGCCCAGATGTTCCCTCCCAGGTGTGCCCAGATGTTCCCACCCAGGTGTTCCACCCAGGTGTACCCTGGTGTATCCAGGTGTTCCCAGGTGTATCCAGGTGTTCCACCCAGGTGTACCCAGAGCTACCCAGGCGCCGCGGCCATTTCGGGGCTGCCCCGCCCTCACCTGCGCCAGGTGAGCGCCATGTTCCGGGGCTGAGCCCGGCCGGGATGCGGCGCCCAGGGGCGGCGGGGCCCGGCGGCCGCCTCCTCCTCCTCCTCCTCCCGCGGGGGGCTCTGCTGCTGCTCGGTATCGGGGGCTCCGGGCTGGAACGGGGCGGGATGGGATGGACGGGACGGGAGCGGCGGTGCCCGGGGGGTCCCGCGCTGGAACCGGGCCGGGAGCGCTCGGGATGCGGCTCCGGGGGCAGGGGGAGGCTCGGGAAGGGCGGTCCCGGTACTCTGGAGGAGCAGAGAAACTCGGGAAGAGCCGTCCCGGGGCGGTCCCGGTACTCTGGGGGAGCCGAGAAACTCGGGAAGAGCCGTCCCGGGGCGGCGGGAGGCTCGGGAAGGGTCTGCCCGGAGCGGCGGATGTCCCGGGGCTGAGGGAGACTCGGGAACGGCCGGGGTTGAACCGGGCAGAGGCGGCCGCGCACCCTGGGAACGAGAACTGAAAGTTTGTGGAGCTGTGGAAAGACTTTTGACCCGGTGCGTGTGAAATTGAGGCGCTGCGGCCGGAACCGCAGGGCAGAACTGCTCCACGTCCCAAAGGCCGGGACCTGGTAACTCATCAGAGACCCAGCCGATTCCATTGCTCAGCTCCTTGTCTCCAAATCCGAGCCCCTCTGGTGGTGCTGCTGCCCCGGTGCCTCATCTGGGGCCGGTTCCAGTCTCACTGAGAGTAGGGCAGGGAAGATTTCTGCTTTGCTGCAAATTTCAGTGCTGGGGAGGGAGTCACTGCTGTGCTTTAGTCCCTGAATTCTGGCTGACCCGCAGTGTCGGTATTTTTGGGACAATTGAGCACCTCACACGTAGCACAAAATGAACCCCTGCCTTTTGTGCTCGCTCCATCAGGTGTCTGCAATGCTCTTTCCCTGGAAATTAAAGTCAGTCCTAAAGTCCGAGCTTTTGTGGGCGAGCAAGCGCTGCTGAAATGCTCCTTCAGATCCAGCTCCCCCATCACCGAGAGCCTGCTGGTGGACTGGACCTACCGGCCCCTCACCGGGGGCCAGATGGAGACAGTAGGTGGAACAGGGCCAAAATCAGAATTTTCTCTTTGCTTTGCTGGGCTGCTGCCTCACTTTGCGGTCTGGGACTCTCGTTGTTGCCTTCTTTCCCCTGTAAAATTCCTTTAGTGTTCTCTGGGGGGGAAAAAAACATTCCAGGTAAACACAAAACGGCATCATAATGATAAAGTAGATAAATTTAGGGGGTTGTCACAAGTGCTGCACTGTGCACTGCACAGGATGACTGTAAAGATTCAGTTGGTGGCCTTATTTCTCTTCATGTAGGAAATATTCCTCCTGACTTCTTAATGTGACATTACTCCTTTATTTTTCCAATGCAAATTTCCTCTATTTTTGCAATGCAGAAGCAGTTCACTCTTCTTCCTTGGACGAGCGTTTTGTTGCCACAATCACCGCCTTTCCCTCCCTGCAGATTTTTCACTATCGGTCCGTCCCACACCCAGCAACAGGGGGCAGGTTCAAGGACAGGATAATCTGGGTTGGGAACGTTGCCAACGGTGATGCCTCCATCGCCATCCAAAGCCCGGAGCTCAGTGACAACGGGACATTCATCTGCAGCGTGAAGAACCCTCCAGATGTTTATCACAACATTCCCCAGACCGTGCTGCTGGTGACAGAGCGGGGTAAGGCTCCCTGCCCTCGCTTTGGCCTCGCCCCTGTGACAAAAGTTGCTTTGTGGGATCCTGGAATTCCAAGCATCACATGGGAAACGCTCCCTGCACTTCCACGCTGGAGTTTCAGCAGGGGCTGCCCCAGCCCCGCTCTCTGAGCTCAGTGCTTTGAGAGCTGCTGAATTGATCTGGGGCAGGAAGGGACGGGGGGAGCTGTGGTGACAGCAGAAATCAAAAGTGTCCCTTTGTTCAGGAGTCTCAGCCTCCGCAAATTGCGGCAGAACAAGTTAAACATTGAGGAAACGCTGGCCTAAAAATAATCCCCACATCACAAGCGCTGATTGTCAGCACCAATTTCCTCATCTGCCCTGCGTGCCAGCCCTGCCCCAAATTCCCAGCTCAGTGTGCTGATTGAACTGTGCCGTGCCTTCCTCTGCAGCTCCTGAGACCTGAGCCTGGGCTGGGCCTGGGGTCAGGAGCCCCATGGCTTTGGGGACAGGAGCCCCACGGGTTTGGGGACAGGAGCCCCACGGGTTTGGGGACAGGAACCCCACAGTTTTAGGAATAGGAGCCCCAGAGGTTTGGGGACCTCAGGTTTGGGGACAGGAGCCCCACGGCTTTGGGGACAGGAGTCCCATGGGTTTAGGAACAGGAGCCCCACAGGTTTGGGGACCTCAGGTTTGGGGTCAGGGGCCCCATGGATTTGGGGATAGGAGCCCCACAGGTTTGGGGACCGCAGATTTGGGGACAGGAGCCCCATGGGTTTGGGGACAGGAGCCCCATGGGTTTGGGGACAGGACCCCTACAGGTTTGGGGACCTCAG